GGTGGGGGAGGGAGAAGAGGGCGAAGGGGGAAAATGGTGATGGGAGCAGACTTGACTTGGGGTGGGGAGCGCACAGTGCAACACACAGATGACTATTAAAAAATACATTGTCTCAAAAAAAAATACACCTGAGGTAAAACAATACTTAAGTGTCTCTTTTTCTATCCTTACCCCAGGATATGTTTACTGATTTTAGAGAGAGAAAGGGAGAGAGACAGAGAAACACTGATGTGGGAGAGACATTGATCGGTTGCCTCCCACACTCGCCCCAACCAGGGACTGAACCCGCAGCCTAGGTATGTGCCCTGGCTGGGAATCGAACCCACCACCTTTTTGGTATCTGGGACGATGCTCCGACCAGCTGAGCCATCTGGCCAAGCTGACGTGTCTCTGTTTTAATGTAGGCCACATGTGTCCCTAGATTGTTACCACGAAGACGCAGACCGCCGTTTATTATCTTTTGGCGTCTCCAGAGCCAAACACAGCACCCACACATAGGCTCTCAATACACAGCAGACCTTTTAGCTCATTTCTTCAATTATATCTCCTATTCTTCACCTAATTTTAAAAGGGACGACAAATATTATTTGGTCTCCCTAAAATATACAGGTCACCCTGGCCAGGCTGTTCAGTTGGTGGAGTACCGTCCAGGATACAAAAGGTTGCGGGTTCGATTCCCGGTCAGGGCACACACCTGGGCTGTGGGTCTAGTCCCTGGTTGGGGCTTGTGCAAGAGGCAGCCAGCTGATGTTTCTCTCTCCCTTCCTTTCTCTAAAATCAATGAGCTTATCCTTGGATGAGGATTTTTTAAAAAAAGAAGGTTTGCCTGCTCCATTCCCGGGCAGGGCACATACTTAGACTGCAGGTTCACTCACTGGTAGGGGCGCGTATGGGAGGCAGCCAATCAATGTTTCTCTCTCACATTGACATTTCTCTCTCTCTGTCTCTCTCTGTCTCTAAAAATCCCTATAAACATATCCTCCAGTGAGGATGGAAAAAAAAAATGCAGATCCTCTATGTTGCTTCAGAAATTCTATTTTATTAGAACCTTCTTTTTAGCATCAACATTGTAATTATCTTTTCAGTTATATTGTAAAGGCCCTTAACATTTCATCAGCACGCCC